GGGTGTCCCTGGGCTGCGGCCCCAGCCCTCCCGCCCTGCATCCTCCCGGGGCTCCTCCGGGTGTCCCTGGGCTGCGGCCCCAGCCCTCCCGCCCTGCATCCTCCCGGGGCTCCTCCGGGTGTCCCTGGGCTGCGGCCCCAGCCCTCCCGCCCCGGCCTCCGCCTTCGGGCGCCTCCTCCTCTGTGCCTGCGCTCCGCTCCTGTCTCTTCTTCCTCTTCTCTCCGCACGGGCGAACCTCCTGACGGCCTCGTGTTTGCAGCGCGTTCACAGAAACGTCCCAAGCTGGACTAGAAACGTCACATGGCAGCTGAGCAGGTGGGGCGAGGTCAGGCTGAACCCCGCGGCTGGCGGCAGAGCGAGGGCCGAAGCTCCGTGTCCTCAGGAGCGCTGCGCTGGTTTCGGGTCCAGGCTGACCGGGGACACTGGCCGCCCGGTCCCGAGACTCCCGAAATGCCCGTCGCCGCGGGTGCCGGCCGGGTGGCCCCTGTCCTCTGAGGTGCACCGGGAGGTTCACCCCGGCCTGCAGAGGCGGCCGCCCCGGTCTCGGGGTCCCCAGCGGGCGTGCAGGCGAGCGCCTGCGACCCCTGACCCGCACGGCAGGCGCCGGGGCCTGGAAGCACCTGGCCGGGTGTGCACTTGGGGCCGCCTCTATTTCTGTGCCCGGCTTCCTGCAGCCCTGCCAAGCCTTTGTGGCTGCCCACGTGAGGCCGCCGGCTGCCCCGGGCCCCAAGACTTCCTGTCCCCTTTCCCCTGCCAACAGCAGCGCGAGCCGCCCTGCTGGGGTCCCCGGGCAGTGGGGGTGCACCCCTGTGATCCCCGCACGCGGGAGGCTGAGGCAGGAGGATCTCTGCGAGGTGGAGGCTGGCCTGGGCTACAGAGTGAGCTCAAGGCAGCGTGAGCTGTTTAGCAAGACCCCGTCTCAGAAGCGGGGGGACTTTTCTAACTGCGGACACCTTCGGGGGCCCCTCAGTAACCCTACCCTACTCCCAGGCCCTGCGGTCACACCCTGTCATCCTAGGGGTCACCCCGCACAAGCCCCACCTGAGTCAGGAGGCTGTGGGGACACCCAGGCGGTCGCCCCCGAGCGCAGAGCCCGCCCGCTGCACAGCGGCACTGTGGCCCTCGGTGGCCCCCTGCTTGCCTGTGTCCATAAAGCTTCATTGAGACACAGGGAGGCCCCGGCTGGCACGCTGGCCTCCGGGCGAGGCTGAGGCTGCCCCGAGCCGTGCTGGGCCCAGCAGCAAGCTCAGCCGCACGGTGCTTGCCCGGCAGGCGCCAGGGCCTGAGTTCGGTTCCTGATCATTCCACTGCCCCCCAAAAGCCGGGGAGATTCAGCAGACTTGGAAAGCATGAAATGGGGGCTCTGGAACCATGAGGTGCAGGGCGTGGGGTGCAGGGCGGCTGGTGCGGGGCGTGGGGTGCAGGGCGGCTGGTGCGGGGCGGCTGGTGCGGGGCGGCTGGCCATGGCGGACAGCGTGGGGAAGGTGCCCACAGCCGATGTGGGAAGCAGGGAGACACGCGGCGGGGACAGCGAGGCTGTGAGGTCCTGACGCTCCGAGCAAAGAGGCGCTGAAGCCCTCCAACCCGCCGCCCCCATGTCCTCCCGCCGCAGCCAGCAGCCCTCCTGCGCGGGTGACTTCGAGCTCGGTGGCTCCTGCTGCCCACGCTCCTGCGCCTCTCATGCCCCTGCGCTGCCGCGGCGGGCCCTGCTACGTGGCCAGGTTGGCGCAGCCCGCTGGAGACCCTCCTGCCTCAGCCTCCCGGCGGGGCTGACCGAGGCGGGGCGCGGCCTGGTGGCACCTGCCCTGGGGGGAGGCTGCACGGGGACGCGGCTGGAGCTGGCTGGCGCTTCCGGAGGGTCCCGGGGCGCTGCAGGTGGGATTTCGCAAGGCACCGGGCGGCCACGCTGAAGAGGGCCGGGCAGACCGTCGCGGCTCTTTCTTGACTTCAAAAGACAAAACAAAACAAAACAGGAATTGGTGGCCGACCGAGCAACTCCGCGCTCAGCAGGGACACAACCGCCAGGGTGGGGAGGAGCAGCAGGAGGAGGAGCCGCCGGGCGTGGCGGCTGACAGCGACCGCGACAGCCCCGCGCTGCGAGGAGGGCAGACGTTACACAGGAAATTTCAAAACCGGTTTTGGCTGCCGCTGTCGCTGCAGGCCCAGCTCGAGCTGAGCACCTGCAGACAGGCGGCGGGCGCGGCCAGCGGGCACCCGGCCGGGAGGGCTGCGGGGCGCCGGGCAGCCGCCGGGACTCTTGCGACCGCAGCTTCCACGCGTGCCAGGTAAGGCGCGGCCCGCTCATCATCTGCCTTGCTGCTGGGCAAGAGGGGCTCGGGTGCGCAGGCGACACAGGCCCGGACTCCTAGGCTAACAGCAAAACCCCAGCAGATTGTCCAGTGCGGGTCAGCGGGTGGGAGGGAAGTCGCGTGGCACGGGACAGACAGGAAGGACGGAGGGGCGTCGTGGCCACGCTCCCCGCAGCCGGCACCGTCCTCAGGGCTGAGGCTGTGCTGCGGCCTCTGGAAGCCCGCCGGCCTGGCTCCGTGGGGCGCGCCCACCCAGCCCGGGCTGCCGAGAGGAGCCGCAGGTCGCGGGCCGCGCGGGCTTCGCAGCTTTTGCTTTTGTCCTGCGGTCACCGGGTTTATTGCACACTGCGGAGGACAGGGCCTGGGCGCGGGAGAGCGGAGGAGGGGAGCCGCCATCCCGCACTCGGGAGGCTGAGGCAGGAGGGTCGCCGCGGCGCGTTCGAGAGCAGCCTGCGATGCGCAGAAAGACCCGGATTGCCGCAAAACAAACCGACGCGCTGGGCGCCGGCGACAACGGGCCTCCCGCGGCCAGCCTCAGGGGAGCAGCCCCAGCGCCCCGCTTCTGCCCCGCGGTCCCCAGGGGAGCCGCTCTGCCTGGCAGTCAGGCATTGGGGGTCACGCCCGCCTGCACCTGGGCCCCGGGGCGTGGGGGACCCCGGGGGAGCTGCGACCCGGCCGGGGAGCCCGAGCCCAGCGCGCGGGAGGCCGAGGCAGGAGGGTCGCCGCGGCGCGCTGGAGGCAGCCTGGGCTGCCCGCGACTTCAGGGCAGAGGCAGCTGCGTGCGGAGACGCTGTCGCCAAGAGA